GACCAGCACAACTCAAGAATCAGAACATAAATATAATGAACATAATCTAGAAAAACACCAAAATATAAGAAACAGAAAAAGCTGGGTCAAAATGACCCAGAACCGTGACAGTGCTAGAATACAAGTAACAAACTTACTCTGAAAGGTCTTCTCAATCACGTTACAGTCCGTACACTCTTTTAATGTTTCTTCAACTAGATCATCTGTGATTTCAGAACTGGCCTCGAAGATGATCTGTACTGATGCAATGACCCCTGAGATTGCCCTTGACACACGAGTGGTCCCCGGACTGTAAAAACAGAAATCACATTTAGTGATGATTGCATCATTTATTTGTGCAGTATAATAACATGTTAATGTACATTGATGTGAAACAGGCTGAAAGATTTTATAGTAAAAGCTGTTGTCAGTCTGAGACTTACAGGAGTTTCAGCACTATAGATCTGGAGTAACCGTTCTTGTTCTTGTTATAAGCTTTATCCAGCTGTGTTTTCAAAAGAAAATATGTTTTGCTCAGTATGAGTATTAAGATTGATTAAATAACTGATGAAATTGTTTTTAGTATAACTTGTAATGTCAAGTGCATTTTCAAAAAATGTCCATAAAGACACATTTATTGATAGAGAATACTACCTAATTACTTACCTCAGCAATGATTTCATTAGCAGTTTCTATAAATTCCTTTGATTTGGTATCTGTCATTTCATTTTTAAATTCTTTTTTCACTTGAAGAATTCCAGGGAAGACTTTGGCTGAAAACAAGAAAATATCAGAAAAAAAGCAAAAATCTAATAAAATTATATTTTATATCTCTCATTTTCTTGCTGAAAGGAGGGAGATTGATGCCAGTCTCATACAGTGTTTGTCTGTTAAATATCAAGCTACAACTAGCAGGTACTTAACTAAAATTAAGACAGGAGGCTAGCTGGGTTACTCCCAGACATAAACCCCAGAAAAACAAAAAAAACAAAATCCAATTTGTCATTCTTACACTTTATTTTTGCATGGATAAAGTAAACCAAATCTAAAATGTTAACATTAAAATGTATTTCACAGATTGCATTAAGTTGGCTAAGCCAGGCTAACAGTCAACATTACTCACTT